AGGAGGATCAAAGTGAGTTTAGCCTGAGCTGAGTGAGGCCAGCCTGGGCTACACAGTGAGTTCAAGGCCAGGCTGAACTACATGGTGAGACTCTTGACTAAAAAAACATCTTAAATATTCCTGTGGGCATTTTAAAAAAATGAAAGAAATTAATTTTAGTAATGTATGCTCCTAACATCCAGCTATCTGAAACATTGTTCACTGAACAGGTCAAAATCCTAATCAGTGTATGGATTAGGTTGTACATTGAGAGGTTTTCCATTTTTTTCCATTGTAAGCCTTCAAAATATAGAATACTGTCCGTGGCACTTAGAAAACTGCTCTCCACTGTAGAACAGACCTGGAGCCCACATCTCTGCAGGGCTCAGTCTGGGAGACCAGGCAGCCGGATGTGCACCTGTGCTGGCCAAAAGAATGTGCAGTTGCTAGGCACCTCCCAGATGCAGCTCCCCTCCTTGTGGTCCCAGTGCCCATGGCAACTCTCCCATTTTTCCCCAGGGGTGGAGCCGCTTGGCTCCAAACTAGATGTCATCCCCATCTGGAGCAAAAAGAGACAAGAATGGAGGAGTGAAGCCTGTGTTGGTGGGTGAAGGTGTCCAGCTGGGGTGAGCCCCTCCTCTCTCTCTCTCTCTCTCTCTCACACACACACACACACACACACACACACACACACACGGAATAATAACAACTAGGGAAGAAGTGTTGTCCAGTGTCCGGGACTCAGTACTCCAGGCAGCAGTGGTTGTGGTATTTGTTATCATTAAAATAGCCCAGTACTCTGAGAGGCTGAGGCAGGAAGATCGAAAGTTCAACCCAACCCAGGGTAACTTAGCAACTTAGTAAGACCCTGTTTCATGTCTATGGCATAATCCCATGCGCATGATTTTACAAGTTACTTTACAATGTGGCTATTTCCCATGACAGTACAAAATAGTGTTATACATGTTATGCAGAACATTTTAAACAGCTGCATAGCGAGGGTTTCTTTATTTAACAAATCCCCATTAACGGACATTTAGCTTGTTTCTATTTTCTTCTGCATCAGTAGACACTTGACACACAAATACATCTCAGGTGAATTCCAAGTACACTGGTGAGATCATAAAATCCCCACTTTTTTCAGTACTGGGGATTGAACCCAAGGCCCAAGCTACATTTCAACCTGTTTTGCTTTGTTTTGGGACAAGGTTTCAGTAAGTAGTTAAGTTGCTCAGGCTGGCCTTGAACTTGCAATTCTCCTGCCTCAGCCTCCTGAGTACTGGGATTACAGGTGTGTGCTAGGGATAGAGATTTACTGTCGGTCAAGAACATTATGCTAGGGCTGGGGATATAGCTCAGTGGCACAAGCACCTGCCTGGAAAGTGTGAGGTCATGTGTTCGATTCCTGGTACCAAAAAACAAAGAACATTATGCTGGCTTATGGAAGTAAGGGAGTTTATTGGTTCCCGTTCACCTCAGCAACAGATGGATCCAGGTGCTTAAATGACCTGTCAGCAGTGTCCTCTCCTTCCGGCTCTGCTTCCCTTTCGCAGATTGGTTTTGTGGCAGTGCTTCCTTCATGGTGGCAAGGTGCCCACCAGCAGCAGCTCGTTTATTCCCCATGAACTTGGCAACCCAGAGAAAATACGTCCTCCCCTCCTACCGCCACCACAGTCCCTCACACTGACTGACATCACTCTTCCGCCAGAAGCTCTCCAGCAGCACCCCACGTTCCCCGCAGGAAATGCCAAAACCCTTCAGATGCCCTCTGGGCCCTGCGGGGCCTCGCCCCCGGCCCCAGTCTCCCTACTGCTCCTTCTGCCCCAGCCCACGTGGGCCTCCTTGCTCCTCCCAAGTGCACCAGGCCCTCCCACCTTTGCACCTTCACCTGGGCTGCTTCCTCTGCCTGGTCCTATTGCAGCCATTCACAGTGCTTTGTCACTCTAGATCTCTGCTGGGAGTGACTTTCTCAGAGACTTTAGCAATCATTTCACAAAATCATCTCCTTATGCTTTGCTACAGTTTGGGTGCATTTGCCCCAAGTACATTTTGAAACCTAACCCCCAGTGTGATTGGATACGAGGTCTTTGGGAGCTGAGAACCCTCGTGAATGGAATTAGTGCCTGAGTAAGAGAACTCAGAGAGCTCTCTCCCAATTCTATGTGGGGACACAGCAGGAAGGTGCAGTCTATGAACCAGGAAATGCCCTTGCCAGACAATGAATCTGACAGAACCTCAGAGCTCGGCCACCAGAACTGTAAAACTTTCTGTTGTTTATAAGCTACGAAGTCTAGTCATTTATTACAGCAGTTGGATGTAGGACACCTTTGCACTCCACAGCCCATTCCCGGCCTCCCTGTTCTCCTAACATGCAGCTGGGGTACTATCAACTTCACTTTACAGCCTGGCCTCCCCACTGGCATGTGCCTGGCAGCCAGGGACTATGCATGCCCTGCCGCTAGCCAGGTGTGTGGCACCAGGAGAGAAGGAGCAACACTCTTTTAAAAACTCAAAACTTTAATCAGAGAACCAACTGACACACACGACAGATATGCAGAACGTATCTTCAGAAGAGGTAATGAAACACAGACCACGCCCAATGGCTGCCAACTTCCTATAGGACTTCTGATCTCTATCACTGGTGTCAAAACCCTATCAAATATACTTACCAACTTGTTTCCGCCCTGCCAGCACTTCGTACACCCCTTTCATATATAACATGCACAGTTCCCACTGCAGATAGTCATACACATCAGCCACTTGCAAACCAGAATGCTCAGCACTGTAGCATGAGCCCACGGGGTACACATCAAGTTCCCACTTCAACTGCAAAAGCCACCAGGACTCAGAGGATTAAGAAGGCCAAGAATGTAAAGCACCCCAAATATGGAACATATTGTGTCCAGAATTCAACATTTTCATAAAGCTTCTGTTGCTTCAGTAAATATGACTGCGCCACTTGAGTAGGGTACAGAAGTCCTGAGCCGACAGGGAACTTGAGGCTGGTCGTGTGGCTCAATGTGGTGTCGGCTGGTGGAACAGGTACGAATAAGATGTAACCCAGGGCTCCGACGGGAAGGATGATGTCCTCGCTGGACTTACTAACAATCCTCGGTGATTCCAGTTCACTGACAGTGATCCTCCATGAAAATTAATCATTTCCCTTCCCGGCGCCAGAAATTTCAAGGCCAGGGCTACAGATCAGTATTCCTTCTCCTGCAGCCTACCAAATCGCTTTAACTGGTAAATTGTGAACAACCCTGCAATCACTTCCCTGCAACCATTTTCACAAGCATGTCTTTAGTGGTTTGAGTTTCATATGGCAACATCCAATGGAACTTTCCTAACTGCCTCCAAGTTAGCAGAATCCATTCATGAATCTCGTTGTTTGCAGTAGCATTAACTCCCATGGACAGATTTTGTGTCCTACTGTATAAGCCATGGCTGTGGAAGAATATCATGGAAGGTGGCATGTGAACCAGGGCAGGGGGGTCTTCTGTGAGAGACCCGGGAGGTCAACAGAAAGTTTTAGCCTTTTTTTTTTTTTTTTTT